TGGGGGAATGGGTTATAGGGACTACTATAAGGGACCTTAAGGGACTATCATAGGGATCCCCCTAAACCCTAAACCTTAAACCCTAAACCCTAAACCCTAAACCCTAAACCCTAAACCCTAAACCCATTCCCTACTAAGCACCAGACAGTTTTTAAGGCAGCCCCTTCGGCGGGGACCCGGAGAAGGAGCTCCAGGAGGCTCAGCTGGAGCTCCTGGCCCTGGAGGGGTTTAGGGCTTAGGGTTTAGGGTTTAGGGTTTAGGGGTTTTGGGTTTAGGGGTTTAGGGGTTTAGGGTTCCAGGAGGCTCAGCTGGAGCTCCTGGGCCTGGGCCTGGGAGATGGCGCCCATTTTGTCCGGGCTGGATTCGGGATTTTGGGTTTCGGGTTTGGGGTTTCGGGGTTTGGGGGTTTAGGGTTAGTTAGGGTTTCCGGCTTAGGGTTTAGGGTTTAGGATTTCGGGTTGGGGAGGAGGCTCAACATTTTTTGGGGACGAAGGGCGCTAGGATTTCGCGCTGTGGAGACTTTTAGGCTGAAGGGCAGCAAGGAGTGCCAAACCCGAAGCCCTGAGCCCTAAATCTAAAGCCTCGATTCTCAGCGAAGGTTCAAAACCATGGAGGGCCGGGACGAGGCAGCTGATTCGCTGACTGACTGAGTGCTCTCTGTCGTAGGCTTTCTGAATGCTTACAATGGACTTTGTGGATCGATGGCTGCAAATGTCGTAGGCAGGACAGCGTGCACATGATGCACTGGCACCACCCCCCAAACCCCGAACCATCCACGAACCGCCCAAATACGGTCGCCGGGTCTCTGGCACCGGATCACCTCACCTATCTCGACATCTACAGGATACATCGAGCCAGGCTTCATGTGAGGGTTCCATAGCATGGGTGTTCCTCTGACAGAACAGCCAGGTAGCCGAAACTGAAACACTCCCAATCAGCCTCCCCAGCCGCAAGCATCCTCTAGACAAGAAACCCTAAACCCTAAACCCTAAACCCCATCAGTAAACCCCAGAAGCCACTACTTTTCTCGGAGGCCCTGAAGAACGAGGCGGCTGCCTGGGAACGAAAGGCGGAGCTGTGCCGCAACGGAGGGGACAAGGCCCGTCGGAGGAGGAAGTGTTGGGCACAGGTACATGCATGTTTTTTTACATCATGTGTATATATATAATATACATTGTATATACCATACATTATATATATATATATATATATATATATTATGTTGTCTAAAAACAGAGTCTAGGAGACTACTAACAGCAGAGTTTTGATATAGCTCTAGTGTAGTATAGATGGTACAACTAGTGTAGTATAGATGGTACAACATAGTAGCAACAAATGTTTGTTAAGATCGCGGGGACTTCACAGTTTGCGAGTGGTTCCTATGCTGTAACTGTAGGGTTGTCGCGCGGTCTTGCAGTGATTTCGGGTTTGAGGCGTGTGCCCCGCACCGTGTTGTCGGGGTTGATAGGGTCCAGGTGTGAATTGTTAGAGCTCGACACGCTAAACCCTAAAGCCTACACCGACTTAGAGGTGACAGCTTTCCTGGTGTCTCGTTGCCTGGTTCGCTTTGGGCTTCTCCGGAGTTCGAAGTGGTGAGCCGCTTAAGCTCACGGACCCAACAACGCCATTAGCCTGCGCTCATCCTTCCATGCTGCTCAGAGACTCCCACAGCCCTGAACTAAACGACTATCCTTCTGCTAAGGGTCCTTATGATCCACGGAAGAGTCACTAGAGGCTCTTCCCTAAACCCTAAACCCTAAACCCCTAAACCTCTAAACCCTAAACCCTAAATTTCTAAAACCCCCAAAACCCTAAACCCCTAAACCCCTAAAACCCCTAAAACCGCAAACCCCTAAAACCGCAACCCCCTAAACCCCGTGACGCTGTGAGGCCGGCGAGTTAGAGGGCATGCAGCGCAGCTCGGACGGTCCCAGCTTCAAGCGAGGGTAGTTATCTAAATTAGGGTCCCTTTTGGGGGTCCTTTTTATAAGGGTGCCGTATTATAATGGGGACCTAAAAAGGGACCCTAATTTAGAGAACTACCCACGAGCGTTTCGGGTTTGTTGGGGCTTTCTAGGTCAAGGCTTTTGGGCGAATATAGGGGTTTTAATAATTACCTATGCTATTTTGGGTGTTCCCTATTACATAATGATAGTAGAATGGGCCCCAAAACCCTATTCTATTTATGAAGGCCCCTATATTATAAGCGTTGGGGCAATCCTTTTGGTTGACTTCGGGCTCTGGGTCACCAGAAAGCCCGGTGACCCAGTCAAAGCACTGCTGTTTCTGAAAAAACGCTCTTCACCACCACGGTTCAGGACACGCTGTTCAAGCCGCTTGTGCCATAGTGAGAGGGATGGGGAGAACCCCTAAACCCCGAAACCCCTAAACCCCCTAAACCCCGAAACCCCTAAGCCCCCTAAACCCCAAACCCCAAACCCTAAACCCTAAAGCTGCGATCCGCTGATCAACTCACATCTTTCGGGGCCAGAACCGGACGAAGGTGTTGAACTGAAAGCCCTAAGCCACAGAAACGGACAAGTACCTGGAGAGTGCTTGACCCTAAACCCTAAACCCTAAACCCTAAACCCTGAACCCTAAACCCTTGGTGCCAGGCCTACCCTGAACTCCCCAAAACTTCCCTGAACCTTGCACAGCCCGAAAAGCAGGGTCTTATGGGGTCGAAGCCCTGCTTCTTCTCTTTCGGCTTACCCCAAGCCCTTAGACCAAAGCCCTTAAGCCTAGACATCTTCATTCGGGTTTAGGGTTTAGGGTTTAGGCACCGAAAAGCCTACCGGTTGGAGTTGGGTTTAGGGTTTTAGGGTTTTAGGGCTTTAGGGTTTAGGGTTTAAGGGTTAAGGGTTTAGGGTTTAGGGTTTAGGGCCATACCGAGTTATACACCCGATGTTCGTGGGCCCCCGGCTCTTCACAAAGTGAAGAGCTGTAGCGATGTGCAGCTTTGGCACGCCTGCCCAGCCAGTACGTTTAGGGGAAGTGAGCTGCGAAAAACAGGGAGAACCCTGAACCCTAAACCCGAAACTCTAAACCCTAAACCCTAAACTCTAAACCCTAAAACTCTAAGCCCTAAACCCTAAACCCCACAACGTTTACGACGTCAGCCCTGAGGCCTCTTCGAGGCCCGCGAGAGGCGGAAGACCATCCGCCGGCGCTTGCTGAGCCTCACCGAGCGGGTGGAGTACCTGCAGAAGGCAGGGTTTAATGGGCTCAAGATCTAGAAGTCCTTTACCTATAGTCTCCATAGTAGTTCCTTTTTTTTTTGGTTTAACCCATTGTATATTCAGGATTCTATAAGGCATCCCCAAAAAGGAACTACAATGGAGACTAGAGGTAGGGTTCAGGAAGTTTAGGGTTTAGAAGACTCAGAAAGCAGGGGTAGAGGGTTCAGGATGCAGAAGCCTAGGGTTTAGGGTTTAGAAGTGTAGGAGTTTAGGATTTCGGCATGTATAGGGCGTGGGAGTTTAGCTTGGGTTTTTGGGGGTGGTGTTCAGAGAGAAGCAATAAATATAGGGTCTAGAAGTTCAGGACTTTAGGGTCTAAGGCTCCGGGATGGGACTTCGAAGGGTCCTAAAGATAAGCTTCTCAGAGCACTTGAAGACATGCGGAGCTCTGAGACACTAGCAGCATGTTGAGGCTTGAGAACTGTTCTCTTTGCTGTGATGTTGGTGGGCAGTCGGACTACGTATTGCTACGATGAGGAAGAGGAGCAATCACAGCTCTACGACTTAGTAAGGAGTCAGGAACAGCAGTCGGGGTGGGCAGCGGCAGAGGTGCTTATGGTGCTGCTGGTGTTGCTGGTGGTGTTGGTGTTGTTGTTGTTGCTGTTGTTGTTGTTGTTGTTGTTGTTGTAGTTGTTGTTGGTTGTTGTTTGTTGTTTGTTGTTTGTTGTTTGTTGTTTGTTGTTTGTTGTTTGTTGTTTGTTGTTTGTTGTTTGTTGTTTGTTGTTTGTTGTTTGCTGTTTGTTGTTGTTGTTGTTGTTGTTGTTGTTGTTGTTGTTGTTGTTGTTGTTGTTAGTGTTGTTGTTGTTGTTGCTGCTGCTGCTGCTGCTGCTGCTGCTGCTGCTGGTGTTGTTGTTGTTGTTGTTG